TTCCAACAAATGTGTCAAAAACATATTGGGAAAAGACAGTTCCTGTAACTAATGATAACAAGGAAAGCAGATGTCCAAGCACTGAAGAATGAAACTAGATCTTTATCTCTCAATCTGCATAAAAATAATTCAAAATGTATCAAAGTATTGATGTAAGATTGAGAATTTTAAACTGCTAGAGTAAAACGCAGGTAAAACACTTCGTGATATATAGACACAGGCAAGGATTTTTAAAACTTAGGGTTGGAGAAATAACTCCATGGTTAAGAGTACTTCTTGTTCTTACAGAGGACCCACATTCAGTACCCAGCACCTACACAGTGGTACACAACCACCTGTAACTCCAAATCCATGGAATCGAACACCCTCTTCTGAGCTCCAAGGGTATCAGGAGCACACATAGTGCATAGATACAAGTAGGCAAACACTCATACACATAAAATAAAATTTTAATTGATTAAAAAATCAAAATAAGGACCAGCCCGCAGCTCCCATCCTGCCCCGGACTTCCCGTCTGGCAAGAGGTGAGTGCCTGGCTCAGCCTATATCCCATCCCTGGGCACCAGACATTCCAGGGAAGACCTGCCCAACTTGGCTCCAGGTTCTAGCCATCAGGCAGGGTCCCTTCTACCCTAACCGGGAAAGCTCCCCTTCTCCAAGACCCCCGGCAGACCCTGCAAACTCCACGCCCTGCCCCCACGCCCATCCACCCAAGACCCAAGCCAATTCCTGAGACTTAGAGACCAGCCCCCATCCTGCCCCTGACTTCTCATCTGGACAAGAGAGCTCCCATCTGGACAAGAGAAAGAAACTTCCTGAATCTGTTAGCTCTATCTGGACAAAGTGCACTGATAAGACCAAGAACGAACCACAAGGAGATGGGCAGACATCAAGGCAGAAGTACATACAACAAAATGAAGAGCAATACAGCATCACCACAACCTAGCCCTCCTCCAACATCTAGACCTGAATATCAAAAATTGGAAGAAGCAGAAGAAAACAGCCTTATGAATAAACATCATGAAGAAGGTAGAGGCTTATATAGAAGGAATCACAAGAAAATGAGGAAAAGACAAACAAAAAATGGGAAGAACGCTATAAAAAAAACTAGAGGAAAGGACAAATAAAGCAGAAGAAAACAATAAAGCCTTGAAAGAAAATCATGAAAAAGCAATGAAACAGATGAAGGAAACAGTCCAAGACATGAAAGGGGAAATAGAAAAAATGAAGAAGATACAAACAGAGGGAATGGGGCCGGGCGTTGGTGGCGCACGCCTTTAATCCCAGCACTCGGGAGGCAGAGCCAGGCGGATCTCTGTGAGTTCGAGGCCAGCCTGGGCTACCAAGTGAGCT